CCCAGCGCCTCGGGAGCGGCGGGCAGAGACCTCGTACCGCGCTGGGAACCACGCGAGCCCGCGGCTGACCCGGCTGTTTCTCCTCCGCTTTCAGCTCAGACGGGCATGGTTTTGGACAAGGACGGCAAGAAGAAGCACTCGCGGCCAACTTTCTCCGGGCAGCAGATTTTTGCTTTGGAGAAAACCTTTGAACAGACGAAATACTTGGCGGGACCGGAGCGAGCTCGGCTCGCCTACTCCCTGGGTATGACCGAAAGCCAAGTCAAGGTAGGTCCCCACCGCCTCGGGCTCGGGCCTCCCGCGGCCGCACTGGCCCTCCCCACTTCGCCAGTCGTTACCGGCCACCACGTGTTTCGGAGTTTTGGGGAGGATCAGTTATCGTTTAAATTCCGTTTAAATTGGATGTGGGATAGCTCCATGTTGCTTTTTGCTTAGCCTATTTGGTCCTTAGTTCTTTTTGTGCTGCAAATTATTAGGAGAGAGGAGAAGGGAGGAGAAAAAAAAAAAAAGACCGTGACCGAAAGCCCCTAAAGGTAGCATAGTGCTCTGGGCGCAAGTCCGCTCGGCGCCGAGGCCGTGCCCGGTACCGGCGCGCTCCGAGTCGTGCACCCCTCGGGTTGGGCCGCTGGAAGCAGCAGCGCGCGGCTCTCGCCCTCCTCGATCCCCTTCCCGCGCGCGCGTCGCCGCTCCCGGAGATCGGGCAGGGGGAAGAAGGTCCCCACGCGGCCCCCGCTCCGCGGTCGCGTGGCGGCGGCCCCCGCTCCTCGGCCGCGCACTGAGCGCGGGTTGCCCGCGGCCAGGTCTGGTTCCAGAACAGACGGACCAAGTGGCGGAAGCGGCACGCGGCGGAGATGGCCTCGGCCAAGAAGAAACACGACTCGGAGACGGAGAAGCTGAAGGAGAGCTCGGACAATGAGGACGATGACGAGTACAACAAGCCCCTGGACCCCAACTCGGACGATGAGAAAATCACAAGGCTATTGAAAAAGCACAAATCCACGAACCTCTCCCTCGTCAGCCCTTGCAGCAGCAGCTCGGACACCTTGTGAGGCCGAGCCGGGCTCCTCGGCGCCGAGCCCGGGCGGGTGGCGTGGCCGACTGCAACTGGATGTTTAAAGTGGTGTGTTGTACAGCCTAAGATGTATGTGAAATGTATATATTTTTTACAGAATAAGTTATGAAATTATTTTCCTTCTCATGTAAATTTCAGAGGAATCTTTCCAATTTCCCGGGTTTTCTTTTGAATCACTTAAAGGTTTTGCCCCCTCTTCCCTTTAGCTTCCTCTCCGGTTTCCTGCTCCTAACGATCAGATTTTGTTACTGTTTTATATGGATCGCCAGATGCAAACCCAGACACTTTGTATATAGTAAATTTCAGATTTGTGATGTATATTTCTAGTGTAAAACGGCTGTTTTTCTTCATCTCCCTTCTTTCCTCGACACAGTGTTTTGGCGGTTTGATTTCTCCTGCCTCTGACTTTTATCCTTAATATTAGCAAAAAAAATCAAAAAAGGAGAAAAATAGACACTTGATTTTAAATTGGATTGAAATAATGCTGTTTCCACGCTGGTTGGAAAGACTTTGTATAAATCAATAAATTATTTAACAAGCTTCTCCCTTAGCCTGTTTTTTCCGCTGTTGATGTGCGGGATGAGGTGGTGGGGTGGGAGTTGCAGGGAGGGGGACGGGCTGTGTCCGCCGCACGGAGATTTCTGCCTTTGGCCGCGCCAGTCGAGGGGCGGGTGGAGGGTGCAGAGGCTGTTAAATCTGAAGGCGCCTCAAGCCTCCGTTTGCTCTCGGTGTCCCGTGCCCCCGCATGCCCCGTCCCGGCCCCC